CCCAGTGCTTAAAGGGCCTATAGGGTGCATGTTTCTAAATAATCGTTGGCTGGGCTTCAGAACCCTTGGCCGGTATTGGTATTGTCTGCCGTGTGCGCACGGCCCCAGGCGGGGCTGGACTGTGCTTGTGTGACTCACAGACAGATACGCACGCTCAGTGTCTCTGCTCCTCTGTAGGCAAGTCCTTCCACCCTGCAGAGCAAGCTCTGTCTTATTCTAGGTGATTCTCATTCTAAACTTCCGGGACAATATTTAAGGACTCGAACACATCACAATTTAGCCCAGAGGTCCTCAAACTTTTTAAATAGGGGGCCAGTTCCCTGGCCCTCAGGCATTCCACACATGCGCACTGCGGGCCCGGGACTAGTCGGCTGCTAAGCCGGACAGGCAGCGGCGGCAAAAACACCCGGCGGGCTGGATAAATGGGCGGGCCGGATAAATGTTTGGATAAATGTTTTCCGCGGGCCGTTTAGACTTCTGTAAATAATGCTCAGCACTTCGCATTTCGTTTTATAAAGGTGGGTTGCTACGTTGTTTTGTAAAGTCGGGGGTATTTTAAATACCCAACATACATGAGGAACTGAAGTGTTTTTCGTTCTCTCCTGTGGCTTTCCCCTTCCCGTTAAGAAATGTTCGTTCTTTTGCATCCTGCGTTGTTTCCCTGGCCTGAAACTGCCCATCAACCCTCAGATAAACGGGCAGGCTGGAATCGGGGTGGGTGGTGGGTGGGGGAATCCCCTCTTCCCCTTCCCCCCCTCCCCAGCAAAAGATGCCCAGGTCCTCAAAAAAGAAGCCCGTCCCTGGACACGCCCTAAGACACCCAAGAAAAGACAATGCCAGTCTGGTTTTCAAGTTTATTGTTGGCACGCTCACAGCGATGGTACATTATTCGAGGCGAGTCCACAGCTAACAGCGCGGGAGCTGGAGGGCAGCGCGGTACAACCGGCTACACCGTGGTCTCTGGGGACAGACGGCCGGGCCCCTCGAGGGATGAGGGGGTGCCCCTGATTCTGAGACTCTAAACACGTCAGCGCTTACCTCCGAGGCCGAAGGAGGCTTTAAAAATGGCCTCCTGACGACACTTCCTGCTCCACCGACCGGTAGAACGCTCCCGGGAGATGCATCATTTAAA